CACCATGTTGACCAGGATGGTCTCGATCTCTTGACCTCGTGATCCACCTGCCTCGGCCTCCCAAAGTGCTGGGATTACAGGCTTGAGCCACCGCGCCCGGCCTGAAAACGTATTCTTAAGGTGAAAAAGGCAGATAATTTGCTAGATAAATTGCTGTTTCTCAAGGAGGTGGTCTGGGTGCCATAAATACAATAAAATCAATATCCCAAGGAAAATGCTTAGAAAATTATTTCATGACAATGAGTTTTCAAAGTTTTTACTGTGCACCTTCCTGGTTTTAGAGTAGGCACTTATTTTTATTTTCACTACTGCTCTATTTTCAGCCGTAACCACTAGTACTGCAGCAAATATTTCTTGAGTATTATCCTATGTACTTTAAAATGAAAAGCATCTGCTTTTAGAGAGCATACCTCTAACTGACAGAATAAATAATTGCTACATTAAAAGGCAGTTGTTTGTTGTCTGTTATTTCTTTGGCATTGTGAAATGCAAGGCTGAAGTAGTTGAAAGGCCAGGAAAGCAAAAGCAAAGGCAATCAGCAGCAGAACACATTTTGCTGGTACCTAATAAAGAACAGTTGGCAGAATGGAGCTGTAACAAATTATAAGCAAAATACCATTCTTTTTCTTCTTAGGTCCAAATGTGTGAGAAGCTAGCCACAAAATGAAGGCATAAATGAGATAGATCTGTTCTCCATACCACCTAGGTAGTAGGTAATTCTACTACCTATTACCTATATACCTATTACATATGCCTACCTACCTATTACCTATATAATTATTATTAAGGAATTAATAACAATTCCTTATTTCTTAGCTTCATAGAATATGTTTTTGGGCTTTTTGTTTGTTTTTGAGACAGAGTCATACTCTGTCACTCAGGCTGGAGTGCAGTGGCATGATCTTGGCTCACTGCAACCTCCAGCTCCCAGGTTCAAGCAATTCTCCTGCCTCAGCCTCCTGCCGTAGCTGGGATTACAGGCGCCTGCCACTACCCACGGCTAATGGCTAATTTTTTGTATTTTTTGTAGAGATAGGGTTTCACCATGTTGGCCAGGCTGGTCTCAAACTCCTGACGTCGTGATTCATTTGCCTTGGCCTCCCAAAGTGCTGGGATTACAAGTGTGAGCCACCACGCCCAGCCCTTCATAGACTATGTTTAAACTCCTAGGGAGCAACATATGGTTCTTGTATGATTTATATACATATATCGGACATTGATGCTCAATAAAAATAAAACTGGTTGTGTTCGGAGGCTGAGACAGGTGAATCACAAGGTCAAGAGATCGAGATCATCCTGGCCAACATGGTGAAACCCCATCTCAGCTAAAACTACAAAAATTAACTGGGCGTGGTGGCACACGCCTGTAGTCAGGAGGTTGAGGCAGGAGAATCTCTTGAACCCAGGAGGCGGAAGTTGCAGTGAGCCACGATCACGCCAGTGTACTCCAGCCTGGCGACAGAGCAAGACTCCGTCTCAAAAATAGTAATAATAAAAATAAAACTGGTTGTCATCTTCAGAAGAGCTATTGGTGCATGTGTGGTAGACATTCCCAGTTTATAATTGTGTAAAATTAAAATTATGGGAGTGAGTCACTTTCTGAAGGGCATAGATAGGCTGAGGTCCTAGACCAGATTATATTCTTCTTACTCCTCGTTATCTTTCCCTCTCGCTTCTCTGCCCTCAAAAATTGATAGTTGCAAGGAAAATGATAGTTGATTAGAAGAGCTTTTGTTGTTTCATTAATACAACCACATTGTTTTATGTGGTAAGACAATCTGTGACCACAGAATGTTATTTAAATTACCATAGTGGCTGGGCGCAGTGGCTCAAGCCTGTAATCCCAGCACTTTGGGAGGCTGAGGCGAGTGGATCACGAGGTCAAGAGATCAAGACCATCCTGGTCAACATGGTGAAACCCCGTCTCTACTAAAAATACAAAAAATTAGCTGGGCGTGGTGGCGCGTGCCTGTAATCCCAGCTACTCAGGAGGCTGAGGCAGGAGAATTGCCTGAACCCAGGAGGTGGAGGTTGCAGTGGGCCGAGATCGCGCCATTGCACTCCAGCCTGGGAAACAAAAGTAAAACCCGTCTCAAAAAAAAAAAAAAAAAAATTACCATAGTGGCCTAAATCTGAAGATTCGTGGATTGGGTTTTCTTTTTCATGAGCTGACACTGGGAAGTTCTGCTGTATCTGTCAAAAATAAACACACTTGGCCGGGCATGGTGGCTCACACCTGCAATCCCAGCACTTTGGGAGGCCCAGGCAGGCAGATCACTTGAGGTCAGGAGTTCAAGACCAGCCTGGCCAATATGGTGAAACCTTGTCTCGACTGAAAATACAAAAATTGGCCAGGCATAGTGGCTCGCACCTGTAATCCCAGCTACTCAGGAGGCTGAAGCAACAGAATCGCTTAAACCGAGGAGGAGAGGTTGCAGTGAGCCGAGACTGTGCCACTACATTCCAGCCTGGGCGACAGAGCAAAACTCCATCTCAAAAAAAAAAAAAAAAGACAATAGAATACTAAATGTTAGTATAGGCCAGGATCATGCCTGTAATACAGCACTTTGGGAAGCTGTGATGGGAGAATTACTTGAGGCCAGGAATTGAGACCAGCCCTGGCAACCCCATCTCTATTTTTAAAAGATTTAAAATAAATCTTAGCCATAGTTTTATTAGACTAGGTACTTGATGACTCTTTCTCATATTTCTTACTGGTTCTCCTTACCCTTAGTATGGTAGATAAGGATGCCTGATGTGACCCCTGCCTGCCTCTGCAGCTCTCTGCCCATGCTATTCCTTTTTCTATGTACAGCCTTCTTTCAGTTTCACGATATGCTTGGTGCACTCCCAACTTAGGACTTTGCTGAGGGATTCCTCCATCCAGAATGTTCTCTGCCATTTATCCCCCCAATCCCCAGACACATAAGACTTTACAACTCTTCATCCCACTCATCAGCTTTAGCTCAAAAGAAAGAGCCGTGTGTGAGGAAACTTGACTCCATACTAGGTCAGTTCTTGATTTGACACTCTTGACAACCTATACTTTTTCTTCATGACTTAGCATCTTACAATAGATGTTTAATGTGTTTCCTCAACTACATTGCAAGCGCTGAGGTGTCAGGAAATTTGTGCTGTGCTTCTTATATCCCCAGCATAGGGTAGGTTAAAGATGAACTAGTCCCAAAGCAAAACTTATAATCTCGATTATTATGTGTATAAACGATAATACAACATACAATTAGTCTATTTTTTTATAGACAGGGTCTCACTATGTTCCCCAAATGGTCTTGAACTCCTGGGCTCAAGTGATCCACCTCAGCCTCTAAAGTGCTAGGATTACAGTCGTGAGTTACCATGCCGAGCTTTCAGTCTATTCTTTGGAGCATTTAACTGTCTGACTTTATAGTATGTGAGTATCTCATTTAAAAAATTTTTCTTTTATATACCCATCTGCACACTGGAGTATTTGATTTTAAACCCTTCCTTCTTAATTCTAGGTTTTATTCACAAATTTTAATTGAGCAATAAAGAAGTATTGACAATCCAGTTTATGCTAAAATGTCAACATAAACATTTCATTTAATATACATTTATTGTAAAAGCAATATACAATAAAAATACGGAATAGCATACATTCTAACAAGTCACAAGGCTTTGTTTCTTCTTGGTTTGTTGTTGAGATACATTAAAATATTAAGCATTGGCTCAGTGTGGTAGCTCATGCCTGTAATCCCAGCACTTTGGGAGGCTGAGGCGGGTGGATCACTTGCGTTCAGGAGTTTGAGAGCAACCTGGCCAATATGGCAAAACCCTACCTCTACTAAAATACAAAAATTAGCTGGGTGTGGTGGTCCACACCTCCAGTTCCAGCTACTCAGGAGGCTGAGGCAGGAGAATCGCTTGAACCTGGGAGGTGGAGGTTGCAGTGAGCCGAGATCAGGCCACTACACTCCAGCCTGGGCAACAGAGCGAGAGACTGTCCCAGAAAAAAAAATAAAGCATCACTACTATTATTTTATAATAAAATATGGTTAACACTGTTGCCAAAAACACATTTTCTTTACAATTTATATTCTTCCTCATTAAATATTGCCCAAATACTTATATATCCTACTGCTGATCACCAAAATTTTATAGTCTTATCTTGCAAATACAGTACGTATACAATAAAACAGTTGGAAAACATATAGAGATTGACCACAAATAAGGCCCACAAGGTGCTGCTGTGTAATGTATCTACCATCAGGTTAATCAGGCCAGTTGTTATATTTGACAGCAAGAAAAATATTAACTGTTTTCTGTTTAGAGCTGTGATTAAACAAAGACTGGGTTCCCTTCTTTCAGTTTCAGGGACTAGAGATTCTGAATGCTTTTTATTTGTAACAGGTGACTGGATAAGTTTCCAAGAACATGGTACTAGAGCGCCTTTAATTAGAAATTTGGCAAAACTCAAAATTATATCACCCAGTAATAAACTACTAAGAAGGATCAGGCTAGAAGCAACTATCCAAATACAAAAGGCTAAATTTGCCATTCTTCGAGATACTGCTTCTACATTTACTTGAACTACATAAAGAGATATAAAGAGGCTAATAGCTGCCAGCAAAAGACAACAGGCTACTTTTATCAAGCCTTTGATATGTGATCTGTTCTTATGCACATATAACCCTGTTTGTACACCAGCCATGTGTATTGC